GTAGTCTTTTCAAGTGTCCTTGTACTTGTTCTCAGAATGGTAGGGCTGAGAGAAACTAGGAGCACATTATTGAAGTTGGTTTAACTCTTTTAGCTTAAGCTCACATGCCACTCTCCTACTAGCAGGAAGAATTTCACACTACAACTAAGCTTATTAATAAACTCCCTACACCTATTCTTAGTGGTATCTTACCTTTTTAGAAGTTATTTATCAAACTTCCTAATTATGATAGCTTAAGGGTGTCTGGTTATGCATGTTATCCTTGCTCAAGAGCTTATAGCAAACATAAACTACAATTTTGTAGTATGATATGTGTTTTTCTAGGCTATAGTAATCATCACAAAGGTTTACAAGTGTTTGAGCCTTATAGGGAGCATCTACATCTCTTGACACGTGGAGTTTAATAAAAATATGTTTCCTTTTGCAAATGGTTTTTTTTTAAATATAAGAGTTGTACTTGAGGAAGAGGTTTACTCTCAAGTATTTTTCAAGTCCTCACTAGCCTCTATGCCTTCACAATATGGGATTTCATGCCAATTTGCTTTTGTAAACTCTATTTTTGATTTTATTAGCATTTCTAATCCTACTATCCTATGACAAACAACACCTTTATCAATCTAGCCAATCTCATTCTAGTGTTTACGTAGAAGAGAATGTAGAACAACAAGGAAATGACACCACACCTACATCTAGTTCTCCTTTATTTAATTCAAATTCTTTATCATCTATAATAAATGAATAATCAAGTATAGGAGCCTAATTGCTTGAGGGGGATATCTCATGCTAAATACAGATGCCACCCACAATACTAATATGCAAAATTAGCACTAAATGACTACCATAAGCAAATCAAGAATTTTTAAACTTAAGGTATCTTATATGGGTTTGGTTACTACTGTTAGTGATAATGCTGTCATTAAGCCATTGAGTGTTCAGGAGTTACTTAGTTCAAATCTTGGGAGAAAATCAATGATTCACAAATTCAATGCCTTGATTAGAAATCAGATTTAGGTTTTAGTACCACAAATTAAAAGAACAAGACCTATAAATTGCAAATGGGTATTTAAAAGTAAGTATGGTTCAGATAGCAAGTTTCTAAAGCTTAATGCTAGATTAGTAGTTAAGGGCTTTCAACAATATCCTGGAATTGACTATGATAAGATATTCAGCCCTATTTTGAAGCCTTCCACTCTTTAGTTCTTCCTTACCATTATTGTTAATTGTCATTAGCCATTTAGATAGCTTAACATCAATAATGCATTTCTCTAAAATGAATTACTTCAACAAAAGTTGTTAATGAGGCAACTTGATGATTTTGTAGATAAAAGGTATTCTAATCACTTATGCTTACTGAATAAAGCTAAAAACAAGCCCTACAAGCTTGGCTTGATAGATTGAAAAACATTAGCTAGAACTTTATCCATTCTAAGTGTGATGGCTCTTTGTTTTCCCTCACGTTGACAAACAATATAATTTTTTGCCTAATCTATGTAGATGAAACCATTATCACTGGTAATAATCCTAAGATGCTTTAGGTATTCATTAGAGAGCTAAATCCCTTGTTCCCTCTTAAATATTTAAGTCATCTTCATTATTTTCCTAGGAGTGGAAGCTTTTAGGAATCACATTGGTTTGTATCTCAAACAAGAAAAATGCATTCTTAAGCTTCTAAAAAGATGTGGTATGGAAGACGTTCTCCAGTGCCTATATCTATAGTGGTTAACAAAAATTGATCTCTTTATGATGGTATTCCTCTCTGTAATCCTACGAATTATAGGAAAGTGATTGGTGCATTGCAATATTTGGTTAATACTTGACCAAATATCATGTATGCAGTCAACAAGCTTAGTCAATTTCTTTAAAATCCAACAAACAAACATTGACAAATAGTTAAAAGGCTACTTCAATATTTAAAGGGTTCATCTGATCTAAATCTACATATCAGATCAAGTAAGTACCTGAATCTATATGGTTTTTTTTATGTGGACTAGGCTATATGTGTGGATCATCACAAAACCTTTAGAGGTTCCTATGTCTTCTTTAGAATTTATCTAGTTGCATGGTTAGGGAAAAAGCAAAAAGTCATTACTAGGTCAAGCACATAATCAAAATATAGATCGTCAGTTGAGCTTGCCACTGAAACTGCCTAGCTTTAAGCTCTAATTCTTGAAATTGACTTAAAGATTGATCAAATACTAGTTGGTTGGTGTGTGATAATTTGAGTGTTGTCACTTTGGCATCAAACCATGTTTATAATTCAAGAACTAAGCATGTTGAGTTGGATGTGCATTTCATCAAAAATAGAGCTCTAGGAAAATAATTGAGTGTTCATTATATTCCATCTTTTGATAAAATTGCCGATATATTCACAAAGTCTATGACACACTCTTGATTTCTAACCCTCAAAGACAAACTTGAGCTTTCAAAATTCCAACCCTCTCATTTGAGGGGCATATCAAGGTATCAGCTATTTAGTCCAGTGATAAGGTACCCAGGTCAAACAATAATAAAGCCCAAAAACTATTATATGTTTAAGCTATAGCCCATCAGAGACCTTATTATAAATACTTGTAATATTTATTTGTTCTACCACATGGCTTATTTATATGTGTTAAGGTTTTTACCCTATTTTCTATATATAATAATAAAGATCCTTGGGCTTGGTGTGCCTCTTTACACATTATTCTATATTCTCTATTTTGTTGTCTAAGATCATTGTTTTAATGTTTTTTGTAATGTCAATATAAACACATCTCACCTCCGTTCTTTCAAAGTCAAAAGCAAGGTTTATTACTAACATAAATTAAGGAGGTATTAAAAAAGTTAAGAGGAGTTGTGATATATATATATATTATTATATTTTCCAGCCTATGTACTAAAACTTTAAATGAAAAATAAAAATAGTAGAGTAAGTATATTTTTTGTTAGTAATTTACTTTTTTTTACTGGATTTATTTGTAAAAATTTATTATTTTTGTTGATATGTTTGATAAATACAAGAAGTAAATCCATCAACAATGAAAATTATGGCCTGTTTGTTAACCTATTTTAAGAATAGTTTTTGTTCTCTAGAATAAAAAAATTATTTAATAACATGTTTTTAAAAAGTACTTTAGAGAATGAAAAAAAAAAATATTATTTTGGATAATTAAAAAACAAAAATATTTTTTAGATGTTGTAGGATTATTATTTTGAAGAATAAAAGAGAATGAAAAAAATACCTTTTTTTATTTTTTCATTCTCACAACATATTCTATAAAACACTGATTCTCAAAATAATAAAAAAATAGTTTTCAAATAGGCCTTATCTTTGCGGACATTTTTGTGCTATTATTGTTAACTACTAGCTACCTCTTATTCAAAACATTTCTCATTTAAATTTGAACATCTTCAAAAAAACTATTAAATAATTTAACATGTAATATAATTTAATATTATTAGATTGAAATACCTTTATCTAATGAAGAAATAAAAATTTCTTAAGAGGATTTGACTTAGAATATTGTTATTAAAAGGGAATTTTTTTAAAAAATAAATTACTTGAAATTCAAAAATGAAAATCATTTGAGAATATTTTGAAAATAGAGGTTTTATTGAATTATCATTAAAATTTAACTTTTGGACGAGCCTAATTTAATTAATTTATCACTAGTGATAAATGATATGATGGGGTGTTACAAGATGAACACACATAACCAAACCCTTCAAGATAGCCCTAGATTTTCTCTTTATTCGCACCTAATCTTGGTAATAATCTTTTTAATTTTTATTTAAGTATAAAAACATCGCCATTTAATCGACGGAGTTCAGATAAAAATAATAAAAAAAGAAAAGGAAAACTGAACCTATGCCACCCCACACTTGAATGTGTGATAGGAGACAAGATTTTAGGTCAAACAAAAAGATTTTCTCTATTTCTCCGTACATTCATTAAGATCCACTTATTTAATATTAAAAATAAATGATTTTTAAATATTTTATAAAAATATTTATCTTATACAAATTTTTTAAAAAGCAGATATTATTTGAAATTTAATTTTAATAATAAAAAAGTAATAATTATTTTGTTATTTTTAGATTTTAGGATATCTTCATGAATATCTATTTATAAAAAAATTTTATTTTTTAGTTATTTAGATATTTTCTATGTGTATGGGCTTAATTGTTTGTTTCAACTGATTTTTTGAAAAAAATATTTATGTTTTAAAAAATTATTTTGCGAGCTTTTATGATATATTTTTTAAATTTTTAAAATAATTATAATTAAAAAAATAAATTTTTGGTTATTTTAAGAAGTAACTTGAGTAACTTCTAAAAATAATCTAATATTGTGATAGAAAACTATTTTTAAAAAGCAAGATATATAAAGATATCATAAAATTTTAAAATAATATAATAACAAATCATCATTTTTATAAAACGGAAATCAAGAAAGATAATATAAAATTTTAAAATGAATAATAAATAATTTTTTATTATTGTAAGCAAAATATAAAATAATATTTTTTACAAAATCTATATAAAACAAATTTTTTTGTAAGATCTGTAAAATACATAAAAATTACTTTTTTTAATTTAAACAAATGGACACTATATATGCATTTTATGAAATTTTTTTCACACTTACTGTATCAGATTATTTTTAAAAATTATTCAAAATAACTTTTCAAATAATCATAATTTTTTGTTGAGATCGTGATTATTTTCAAAAGTTAATTTGTACCGACATCAGAAAATTTATCAAAATGAAAGGGACTAGAATAATTCAAAATTTAATATTTTGGAATATTATTCTTTTATTTTTAATGTTATCTCAACAGATTTTTCTGAATTCAAAGTTTAAATTAAATAATTAAATAAATGATTTTTCTTTATTCTGTTTCTTATATATGTGATTTTTCTTTATCCGCACTGGATTGCGATTCTTCCATTGCTGCCAAAAACTAGGAGACCCTGGCTTGTGTGTTAAGGGATTCTTTAATTCCGAAGCTGTTTCAGTAATGCGTCAAACCGGAGATGACCAATGTCATCTTCTTCCCCCAGATTTTCTTCAACATTTTCCTGAAGGATTGAAGATCCTCTATGTCGGCTCTGATAATTACACCCAAACTTTAATTCACAGAAATCTTCAACGCCCATTTTATTTCATCAGTCCGTATACCAGCGGTCGTATTGCCTTATCACACTTACGAGACAAACATGATTCTTATGACTTGGTTCTCAGTGACGAGTGTCTAGAAGACATGGATGTCCATGACTTTATCATCAGACACAAACACTTGAACACAAATATTCCTAACGTTGGTAAGCTAATGAAGCTAGCACTACTATATATATATATATATATATGTATGTATAAAGAGATTGTGCATTGATATTAGATGTTGTTTTGCAGTAATATCTGGGAATGAAAGATTAAGTGACATCGTGAAAGCATTCAGATGCGGTGGGTCTTATGTATTGAGGAAGCCAGTGAGTGAGGACGAGCTGATAAATTTATGGCAGCATGTTTGCAGGAAAAAGGAACAAACTGGGACTGAGTTCTTCAAGAGTGACGCTGAAGAAAAACGTCAGCAGAATAAATTAGAACGACGACATTATCCTCATCAGGATGAGGTTTCTAATGATAATTCTTCTCTTCTTCTCAGAGGTAAGAGTCCGCCAGTGGAAGACGACAATGAGTTTGTGAATCGTGGAGAACCTCCTCAGAAGAAACGACGAGTCGTCTGGAGCGCTGACCTCCATAAAAAGTTTGAAAGAGCGGTGGTACAGCTTGGCGTTGACAGTATGCATCTTTCCCCACCTTCTTAATTTGTTACTTTGGAAATTACATATGCAGCCCTTGCATTTTCATTCTTGCAATTTAATTCAACCTTATAATTTGATCAATTAAATTTTTTAATCCTCAAAAAATTAAAATTTTTAAACTTTTTTATTTAAAAAAAATTAAATGATTATATAAACATAAAATGATTATATAAACTTTTATATTTGTATTAAATGATTATATAATCATAAAATTAATTACATAATTTTTATAACTGAAGATTTATATATTTAGGATGTCTTCTACCCCTTAAAATTATTTTTAATCAAATTTTACCCAATTAATGTAGTTAATTATATTTAAATTAATAATATTTTTTCATATTTAACTTTCTTTAATAGATATTTTAATTTAAAATAAATATAACATGATAAAAACCCATAATAAATAAATTATTTTATATTTATTTTAAAGTAAATGCCTTACATTTTTTAATAGCCAACACTACAAAAAATACTTTATATATTTTGGGTAAAAGTATTAAAGTAAATTTTCTTTAACTCCAAAAGTATTCTTGTTTTATGAAATTTAATAATTCATTATTCATTTTAACCCTTAAGGGTCAATACATATAAAAAATGAAATTATAAAGTCTTAACAAATAAATTGCAGGAACCTAATTTAAAATTGAGTGAAACTCAAATTACCTTTTATTATTTAGTAATATTCATCAATTCACTCACTTCTGCAAACATATTTATACAATAAACTTCACCAATCAAGTAAAATCAGACCTAATTTTAGCATGGGTATCCATGAATGTTGATGAACAAATAAGGATCAAAACTTAGCTCTGATTTTACTTGATTGGTTGAGGAGCATTATATGTGTGCCTAGTAAGTGATATCAAAGTCAGGTCTCACATCTAAGGAAGAGATTGTTGGGTTGTCAAGTGTAAGTTAGCTTGATTTGATATTGGGTAAAATCTCACATCGAATAGAGTTGGGTTAAAAAAGATATATGTATAGATTTGGGTTAAGATGTTTAGTCATCGTCACTTCAAAAACCTGAACTTGTTTTACTTTTTTATTTCTCATATTTGTCATCCTTAATATTATCCATGCTAAAATTTTTATGATACGTGTAGGGAATAATTGAAAATTGGGAAAAACTGATATCCTTGACATTTGGTTGGAAAAAATTAGATAAAAAAGAAAATTAGGAAGAAAAATTATTAAAAGTAATAAATTTTTATATTATTTTTGGTTGTTTTTTCTCTTGATTTACCTTCCCCTAATTTTTTTTCTCTGAGTTGTTATAATTATGATCATAGTTTATCCCTGTTTTTTCTTAACTTGTATTTTAGAGGCAGTGCCAAAACAAATTCTTGAATTGATGAACGTGCCTTATCTGACGAGAGAGCATGTTGCAAGTCACTTACAGGTGGGCTCTCTTCATTATCATTTATTAACATTTGATGATATCTCCATATATTTAATTTAGTAATGATAATTATAATTAATGGGTTTATTTTTCAGAAATATAGACTAAGGAAAGAGAGGGAAGAGCGTCGTAATGGTCAAAATCAACGTGGGGATGGCCATGGAGAAGACAGGCATAGTATTTGCGCTCCACCACCTCTTGCAATTGTTCACCCTAATATTAACATGATGCCTTTTTACCCCAACGAATCACTGCTCCTCCATTTACTCACCAGGCAGTTAAATGGACCGTATTAGTCTTTTTTTTTTTTTTTTAAATACAGACTCACATTAGTTTTTATTTCATGTTTTCATTGTTGGATAACTTTTCATATGTTTGTGTACTGCTTGTAATTCATCTTTAATTTACAAATATCAAGCAAATTCCTTCAAAGTAATTATTGTTTTGGTCTACTAATAACTAATTATCGTTTGTCGTTCATTCCTTTTTTACTTATAAATAATAATTTAATTTTCAATTATATAAATTATACTATTTTTACTTTATGCATGTTGAAAATCAATTTAATTGACTAGATATAGTAACCAATAATAATTAGGTCTAGCAAAAATGACTAATATCTCACATAGTGATTACAATATCGTAAATTAAGATTTAAATTTTCACGAAAAAAAATATACTCATATTTATGACATTCTTGGTACAAAGAAATGTTTTTTGTAGAAAAGAAATGAGATATGTATATTTTCCATTTTCCTTCTGAAAAGATTTCTTTAAAATATCAATTAAAGATATATAGTTAAAGAATTTATTGACATATGTCAATATACTAATTGACAAGTTAAAGAATTTTATTGAAATAAGTAAGTACACTTAATTAACCAAAATAATCATTAAATCATGCTTATATTTTTTAATTTAAAATTAATAAGTAGCATATTTTTATTATTACAGCTGAAAAATGGTATAACGATTAGAATTTTTTTTTTTTGGGATAAGAAGTCAAATTAAATAAACAAAATAAAACAAGTCTAACCATAAGGGCCTTTAGAAGAGAAACTAAAAGCCCATAGTAATCAACAGACTAACAGAACCCATACTGAAAACCAAAGACAAACTCGGAGGGACACGGCTGAAGCAAAATACAACACAAGCTACAGCAACATACAGACAACACGAGGTGGACCTCACCATTGCAATATTTCGGAACATGCAGATAAAATATTTTGATGCTCGCAAGGGAAAAATAAGAAGTGCTAAATAGCGATAAGCAAAATTAGAAATCAATATATCGGTTTGTTTTTGGAAAGTTTATTGGTGTGATCTATGATATATACTAGTATATTGACATAGATGTAGATGTAGTATATTAGTGGGTTAAAGGTCAAAACACCTATGAAGTTTTCCTCCAATGGCACCCACCATCCTTAAGTGGGTAGGGTGTAAAAGTATTCTTAACGTTGATTTAATGAGTGAAATCGTGCCAAAATAGTTTAACGAGATAAACATCTAACAACTATCATTTAGTTATATTATTTTTGTATTATTTTTTTTTACTTTTTGACACTTTGTAGGGGTATCTTGTGTATAATAGAATCATTCAAGATCATTTGGATTAATTTTGTAATTTTCAAAACTTGGGGGCAAAAGTGCAAATTTTTAGAAGTTCAAGGGCAAAACTGTAATTTTTAAAAATAATTTCTAAAGAATAAAAAAATTCATTTTCTGATAACTTTTAGTTCTTCATTAATCTCATAGTTTAATTTAAATTAATTCAACTTAGACTGTGAGTTTTTTACTAAAACATCCTTTAAAATATATTCTTTTTGTACTTTAATTGTTATTGCCATAAACTTTGAAAGTGTACTAGGTTTAGTTTTTGTAACTAAGAACTTTTAGAAAATTTCTCATAACTAAATTCATCTTCTAATATTTCATTTAATCTTTTTAATTCACTCTACCACATTTTCATAATTTACATGCAAGTTAGATAAATTCATAAGATACATATAATTAATTGTACATAATTTGCTATTTAATGAGCTCATTGTGTATTTTAGGTAATGGAAAGCTCTTGGATGAGGATGGCAGCCCCTTGCATGAAATTGGAGCCCTTGGATGAGTTAATTGAATAATCAAAAAGTCACAAATAGTTGATGAAATATCAAGAAAGCAAAAGGATATTCATAATAATTCCATCTTCCAATTTCAATTCCCTTTTTCCCTCAAGAATAGCTATGAATCCTAGAACCTCTTCCACCATTTCTTTATCTTAAACCCCTCTATTTCACAATCTAAACCCACCATTCAACTCCTTAAAAATTCACACCATAACCCAATAAAAAAAATTCATCAACCACTCTGTAACATCCTATATTTCAAACTTTAAAATTTCAAGTGTTTAGGGGGGAAAATTAGTAAAATTAAGTTATTTATAAATTTATGATGTTTTTTGATGACTAATGTGGTCAATGGATCATTGGATATCTTTAGAAGAGGGCTACATTAGAGTTTGAGCAGACCGAGGCACATCAGGGGGCCCAAAATCATGTTGGGCCAATTTGTGCCATCTGCAATGGTAGATGGACAAAATTTACATTTATTAAACTTGCGATTTGAGCTAAAAAAGAGAGAGAAAGAGAAAAATATGAGATAGGCGATGGTGAACCAACTTAAGGCTGTTAGGGCTTGGCCTTAGGAGCTATTTGGAAGCATTTTAAGCAAGATTCATCCTTAAGTAAGCTTCATATATCCCTTCCTTTCCCTTTATGTGAATTTTCTATAATTTTGAAGGATGTAGAGTTTTGGAGTTTAATTTCAATTTTCTTGGGTTATGACCAAACCCATTAATGTAGTTAAGATCTTGGAGAGCTAAATCAAGCTTTTAAATCTAGGTTTATGAATTGTATAGTGATTTAGAGTTTTGGTTAGGGTTCAGACGAACCCCAAAGAGTTTAAAAGCAATGTGGATAGAAGATGAGTGTTATTAGTGTGTTTGGCTACTAAATGGAATTAATTGAGTGTGTTGGGAGAGGTGATGGTGTTAAAGTAAGGTTTTGGATATAGTAAGTACCCAGAATTATAATAAAAAAGGGTTAATTGGAGTGTGAATTGATGATTTAATGTTTAATCTTATAGATTAAATATTGGTCTAGCGTTAATACGCTAGTAGATACTTGTAGAGCTAAGTTTTGATCACAGTAACCCTTTTAGTGACAAAAGAGTTGAAATAACTGGATTATCTAAGCTCTTTATTTGCGTGTTTGGATGGTTGTGTGCAATTGTAAAAGCTAGTATTATCGATTTAGATTTGTATATTATCAATATGAAAATGTTTATGATTTAGAAAGTTTATGTGAAGTGGAATGGATAAGTATGTTTTGCATAATTATGGTTTTTGAAAGTTTTACACTAAATCCTATGTTCATGTATATGTAACTATGAAATTGTGTCATTAGTCATAAAAATGACTATTTGAGTGTAAATTGCAAGTTTATGGCTATGTGTGAAATGACTGTGCATATGTTTGGACATGATTATTATGAGAGGGTAAAGGAGTTCATCCTAAAGTTATGTTAGGGACATTATTTGAAAATTCATACCATACACTAGTACTACGGAGGCCCTGGTGCACAGTTCTATATTTGTTTAGAGGTCTCAGTATTATGTGAGATAGATTAGGTATTGACACCCGAGGTCCATAATTGAAACTGCCTCTCATGAACTGTGAGCTTAAGTTAATCCAATCATACAAACTCGGTTCTATCAAATTATCAATCCACAGATTCATGAAAGAAATAAGGAGGATATAAGGTGATGTGTTAATCATACATGTTTTCATCGAATAGCCATATATGTGTGTGTGTACTTGTCATATGAAATATATGTTTTAAATGCCACTTCATATACCCAGTAACTATTCTCACACATGAGTAGTTTGTTTAGATTATTTAGTTATTGAGTCTTCAACTCATGTCGTGGTTACATTTTATAAGTAAAGGTTTCAATAGGGGCAAAGGGAAGGAAGGTGTTTTCAAGCATTGAGGGATTTGTAATTGCATAGTCCCCTCTCTATCTTTTGGTTTTGTAACAAATTATTTATGCTTATACCAACTTAGAACCACGTGTCATTTTGAGGCCAGTTGCATAAATATTATCATAAACTATAGGTATCTTGACATGAAATGTTGTAATTGTGATATAATGTTTGTGAGAGGTTGAGATGACAGTACAAATGTTATTTTTGGTGTTAAATATGTGTTTGATTGGCCATAAACATGTTTATGAAAATTGTTATACCTTTTGAATTTATGCTGAATTTGAGCTTTAGATCATTAAATTGTGTTTGGAATGTTATTGTGTTTTAATTGTGTAATTAGGTTGTTTATGGTCTATTTGAGTTAGTTCAAGTGGTTCAAAGGTTATTAGTACTTGTTATGTGAGTTTAGACACCTTGGTTGTTGTTTTGAAAGGAAAATAGATCATTTTGTGTTTGGGATCCAACTTTTGTTTGGTTTAGTATTTGGGTATAAGATTAGTACCAATAGCTAGTTGGCTCTAAGAGCTACGTGTGAACACTTGAATCACTCAAAGCAGATAGCAAACGGAGCACTTTTATGGAAGCCTAAAATGCCCTTTTCTAGTGCTTGTTCGAGTTGTTATTTGACTCTCTTGCTTCCACTATCTTTTATAACTTTTTTTGAGTTATAGTTTGAGCTCAAACAACTTTTTGAAAAGAATTTTCTTAGAATCCCAGTTTCTTAAACTCCTTTCTAACCTTTGTGTTATGGTAACATTATTTAAGGAATATAATTGATCCTAGTTACCTTACACATTTTGTCTTATGTCTTGTGAGTTTGGTGATGTCAGGATGCACATTACACACACCATTTTTATCTTGGCCAAATCTTAAGGTCTTCATCCATAGTAGTGTCCAAAGTTTGTTAACAAGGAAAGGCTATAGGAATGCTAATGAGGAGTAGCTAGGCTTAAATTCTCTTCCTAGAATGCATGGATGAACTCTTTTTTAGCTCTTAGATTTTAAGAATTTCTCTTTTCTCTTACCTCTTGTTTAATTCTTTGAATTTTGATGCTTATGATATTGTAGCAACAATAGTTGTTAGAATTGAACTTTTTGATACTTGGTTGAGTATTATATGAGATTATTATGTTGTTTATTTATCAATTGAGGTGCTGTAATTTTGAATTTGGGGTTGTCCAAATTTAATTCTATTCAATCCCTTGTTGCATTTAATTTCTAATTGTTTCTTGTGAGCTTATGAGTCACGATTGTGAA